ATATATATATATATATATTGCGTACCCTTAATATATACTGAAAATTTTACAATGTACTGAAAAAAAATACAAATGCATTATAAAATACATTTGAAAGTAAAAAATGAAATATAATAATATAATGCTAATAAATATATAAAAACGTATAAAAAAATTGTGTTAGTTGTTATATTTAATAATTTTTATAGATATTATAATTAATAAATATAGTATTTTATGTTTTTTGATATTTAATTATAATATATTAATTATGCTTTTTTTACTGCATTAATTATAATATATTATTATGCCTTTTTTTACTGCATTAATTGTGATATTTATTACTGTAATATATTTATGATAAAATAATGTGTCAGTACAGTACATTTTTTTATATATATATTTTCATTTAATCACACTTATATATGATAATATTGTTGATATTTTTAATCATTACTTTTATGAAAAATATCTCTGATTGATTATTAGTATAATTTCTTTTTTACTGATAGTATATGACTATTACTTTAAAATAAAAAATGGAAATATACGTTATTGTAATATATAAATATATAATTATCTTTTTCTTAATTTGTATCCTTTTATAAACATATTATATTTAGTTGATGTAATGTTTGGCCATTTTGTTAAATTTGATTGTATAGTATATATTTAACAAATATAGTGTTTGAAAAAATTAATAAATGTCTAAATTAATTCATTTTAAATTAATTCATTTTAAAATGCATACTTTGTAAAAAAGTTTATGAAATATTTTATAGTTATTAAATACAACATTTAAATATTTGATAATCTTATTTAATTTGACTCTCCACTATGAATTTAATAAATGGAACATTGAATACTGTAAAAAAAGTCAACAAAAATTATAATATATTAATCATTTTTTTTTATAAAGATATAAAAAATTATAAAAATGGTCACAATGAAGATTGAACCTAGGTGTTCATGCTTCTAACTATCCCAATTCCCCCACATAGTGATTTAACTATGTCATTTATTAAATGCAATCTACAATTACCTTAAATACTATTATTAAATTTTACATATTAAATATAATAAATGTAATAAAAGTTTGTTAAACATATGAATTTTCATGAAATCTATGTATGGTTAAAATCTATAAGAAAAAAGTAAATATTACTATAAATTAAGACCTATATAGATAATAATTATATATTCAACTTTTATTAGTTTTGTTATTTTTTAAAAAGTAGTTTATATGGTGTCAACAAAAATACTAGTTTATAAAACATTTTGAAATAGATAATTCAAATATATTAATATAATGTTAGTAAATTGTTAAATATAATACTATATGGTGTCAATTTTTTTTAACGAATACACCTAAAAATTCACATAGTGAATCGCGCTTTATTTATTTTCAAACAAAAATATATATTTTTTAATGTAATTACTCTATTCTATAACTATCGATAAATAATAAATTTTATTATTAATTTTTTTAAAAATTTATAAACTAGTGTATAATATTTTTTAAAATAAAAAAAATTATTTATTATTAGATTGTCCAAGTAATTAATTTATTTGTTACTACCACTAACACCACTTAATTATATGGATACTTTTTTGAATAATTTTTTAAATTATGACATTATATATTAAGACTGACTAATCTAATTATTTTTAATGATCTTGATGAATTAAATATATATATTTTTTAATATATAAGAAAAAAAATAGTATATACTATAAATTATTGAGGATAATAAATTTAGCTATTAGAGTAACTTTATCTATGCCCTTCTTTTCGAATGAAAATACTTTAAAATGAAATGATAAAAATAATCCTTCATTTGATTAAAAAAAAAAGGGAATTGTAAAATAAAAGCAGCAACCATTTATATAAACCTAAAATTAGGTTGTTGCATGTGAGGAGAAATACACTTGAAGCCCAAAACGTGGGACATTCGGAGTTTGACTATTTTTGTGGACAACACGTTTGACCTTTTATTAGATATATAATTATGGGAAACCCCATGTTGTTCAGCGGTAGGGGTTGATCCACGCTTAAGTAAGGTCAGAGGTTCGAATCCTGCCTTGTGTATGCAGCCGCGTTAAATCTTGGGGCCAGGTCAGAGGTTCGAATCCTGCCTTGTGTATGCAGCCGCGTTAAATCTTGGGGCCAGCTATCCCACCCTTTGAGGTGCCTCCAACATAGCGAGGAGATTAGTCACTGCTGTCGGGAGTGGATACTCCAAGACGAAAAAAAAAATATATATAATTATGAGCATTTTTTGTCTGAATATTGTGACAGTAAGAAACACTAAAATAAAAGGAAATAGTGTATTAAAATAACATTGCAAAGTGTCGGTACATCCTCTTCCGACAAAAATGAATAGAAATCGAATATAAAGGATGCAGTTGCTTTTATTATAAATTATAAAGATGGAGGAGTAAGCTCTTAAATATCAAACTGCGAAAAATCTATTCTCCAATAGGACTTCGTCACATTGGGATTGCTATTTACTGCTCTGCATTTCTTTTGTATAAATAACTCTACATATTATTTCCAATCATAAAAAGTTTAAACTATTTCCTCTATTTTTTATATATATTAACGCGTTTGATAAACATAAAAAAGTTTTTTAGAAATATGAAATTAAAAATACTATTTTTTTTTCATCTTTACTATGTTATTTAAAAAAAAAACACATTTTCATAAAATATTACTGTTTCTTATAAATGCTATTGACCTATAATTTTCACATAACGTTATAGAAGAAGTCAGAATTTAGAATTTTCAAGTTAGAAAGAAAAAATCAATGATGTAGAGACTAAAGAGACCACGATACTCTTGTTAGTTTACGTAATATAATGATGAAAAGTTTTGAGAGAATTTTTCATTAGATGTAATAAATGAGTAAATTCAAGACTAAAATATTATTATTAGTATTTGTTGATGTCTAAAATGGTAGATAATGAGGGATACCCTGTAATTATCAAATATACAATCAATAACAAGTTAAAAACATTATTGTTTATTTAGTAGTTAATTAAAACTTTGAAATATTTAATTTAATCATTAGATTTTATTTGTTAAGTTGAAGACAAACAAAAGTTTACTTAAAAAATTTCACCTCTAATATTAAGATATCGCTTTGAGTATGTATACGTTACAATATATTACTTATTATAATTTATTTATACTTTTAAAAATAAAAGTTGTTTCTAAAATATCTCATTTTATTTTTTAATATATTAAATATTATACTTTTTGTATTATTCATATCGCAATACCGAGCTCTAGCTCGGTATTACAGTGCTAGTTAATCTCGGACACGTGCTAGGCGACGTCAGTCAAGACAAGGGCCGACATCCAAATAGGTCATAAACTGATCTCAGGCCTATGGCCCAACGAAATCCTAATTCATACAAAGGTACGTGCATTACTTATACGAGACTCATACACCTACAAACACTAACTTTAGCATCGGAGTCCCTTTTGCAGGTACCACCCCCATCTTGGAGCAACAAGCATACTCAATAAAGGAGGTTCACCAATCTTGCCTAGCAGATCGTCCCTACGACCGATCTCTTGTAAGAACACTTTTAAAATATTTTAATTTTACAAAAGTCATCAAGGCATTAATTAGCAACTCGTTTAATAATATTGGCTTAAATGTGTTTTTAGTCTCTCAAATTTAAAGTAAATTTATTTTTGGTC